AGGCTCCCCAGCTCCTGGGGGGCTCATGGTTCAGAGAGAGCCGCAGGGATGAGCAGGCTGCTAGCGATAAGGAGTGGGTGCCTGCTGGGAGGCCTGTCCCTGGGTGATAAACACACGCCCCTCTCTCTCCCGTGACCAGAGCCTGTCCTGCAAATCAGCCTTAAATGGAAACGTCGGCATGCCAGCACAGCCAGGGTGGAAATTCTTGCTTGGCGGGTGAATGACGTATCTGCCAGGGTGTCCCACCCCGCGGGACGGCTGGGGAGTGGGAAAAGGCGAGCATCACGGACTTCACTCAGTAGCTTAAATACCCACGGGCTGGACACAAAGCCGTCTTTGTTTGGAGTTGTGTAAAAATATTATCTCTGTGGTTTGTCAGTGCAGATAACTCTCTTAGTCGAAGTTTCTAAACGGGGAGATTGATACGGACGGAGAAGGCACTGCAGCTTCGTAACAAGTGTTTGGCAGGAGGAGGATGAGGTCTCGGGGTCTGGATGCTGAGGGTTGGCTTCCCGCTGCTGAGATGTGTCTGAAGGCCCAGTATAAACTATGGGGCAAACCGGGAAGCTCCACTTCTGTGTCCTCCTTGCTCTACATCCAGCCTCCTCCTGTCTGAGTTTATGCACAGCAGTTCCCTAAAGAGCATCAGGCTGATTTTTCAGAGAGGATGGACCAGGTCCTTCCCCATCTGACTGAATATGCACAGAATATGCAAATGCGGTGGACTAGCATTTGTTCTGACCTAACTGAAAAATTAAATGTTCTCTAAGGACACAAATGACTTCAGCTGAAGTCAGTGGTATCTAGAGCACAGAACACATGGTTTTGGTTAAACAAAGGGCCCTGCATACTTTTGGGGCTTGTAATAGAAGTACCCACCCAGGAAACAAGCAGGAGTTCTTCTTCTCCTTTAAATCACACTTCAGCTTAATTATTTTCTGCATAGACAGGCTCTAACTTCTGCAAGGAGAAAACCAGGTTTCCGTTGCTCAGCGTGGCCAGGCGCACAAGGCTCGCTCTGCCATGAGTATGGTCACCAAAGAGAAGATGCTTCCCAAATATCCACATCTTGAGTGGATTAGCTACAGCTCTGCTGATGCCCTTGGACCCGAGGAGCCTTGCTGCCTCCCTCTAAGTCCTGGGGCTGATGGTGACACCAGTGAACTGGTCAACAGCCCCACTGGCACCCAGATTTTCAATACACTGAACTCTGTACCTGGCAAGCAGCTTTTTTCCTGCAGCCCCACCTGAGCCCTGGCACCCATTTTCAGGCTCTCACCTGCCGTTGCCTCTGCCTTGGGCAGTGCTTGGAAAAGCATCAGTCAGTTATGAGTTATTCATCCACAGCCTCCGGTGAGTCACTTCCGAGAGAGGCATTTCCGAGAGAGGCAGGGAGCCTGCTTGAAGCCTTGGGCTGTTGAATCCCGCTAACACACACCAGGATTCGTTAGCTCGGAGTTCAGGGTTAGGAAAAGATTAACAAGCCATAGAATCATAGAATGGTTTGGGTTGGAAGGGACCTTAAAGACCATCTAGTTCCAACCCCCTGCCATGGGCAGGGACACTTTCCACCAGCCCAGGTTGCTCAAAGCCCCATCCAACCTGGCCTTGGACACTGCCAGGGATGGGGCAGCCACAACCTCCCTGGGCAACCTGTTCCAGGGCCTCACCACCCTCACTGTGAAGAACTTCTTCCTTCTTCTAATCTAAATCTACCCTCTTTCAGTTTAAAGCCATTACCCCTTGTCCTATCACTACATGCCCTTGTAAAAAGTCCCCCTCTGGCTTTCTTGTAGGCCTCCTTTAGGTACTGGCAGGCTGCTCTAAGGTCTCCCTGGAGTCTTCTCTTTTCCAGGATGAACAACCCCAACTCTCTCAGCCTGTCTTCATAGGAGAGGTGTTCCAGCCCTCCAGGTCGATGTCCTTCTTATGCTGGGGGCCCCAGAGCTGAACGCAGTACTCCAATTAGGGTCTCATGAGAGCGGAGTAGAGGGGGAGAATCACCTCCCTTGACCTGCTGGCCACACTACTTTTGATGCAGCCCAGGATACAGTTGGCTTTCTGGGCTGCCAACGCACATTGCCAGGTCACGTTGAGCTTCTCGCCAACCAACACCCCCAAGTCTTTCTCCTCAGGGCTGCTCTCAATCCATTCTCCACCCAGCCTGTATCTGTGCTTGGGATTGCCCCAACCCATGTGCAGGACCTTGCACTTGGCCTTGTTGAACTTCATGAGGTTCACACAGACCCACCTCTCAACCCTGTCAAGGTCCCTCTGGATGACATCCCTTCCCTCCAGCATGTCAACCGCAGCACACAGCTTGGTGTCATCGGCGAACTTGCTGAGGGTGCACTCAATCATGTCACCGACAAAGATGTTAAACAGCGCCGGTCCCGATACTGACCCCTGAGGAACGCCACTCATCTCTGGTCTCCACTTGGACATTGAGCTGTTGACCACAATTCTTTGAGTGTGACCATCCAGCCAATTCCTTATCCACCAAGTGGTCCATCCATCAAATCCATGTCTCTCCAATTTAGAGACAAGGATGTTGTGTGGGACAGTGTCAAATGCTTTGCACAAGTCCAGGTAGATGATGTCAATTGCTCTTCCCTTATCCACCAACGCTGTAACCCCGTTGTAGAAGGCCACCAAATTTGTCAGGCACAATTTGCCCTTAGGGAAGCCATGGTGGCTGTCACCAATCACCTCATTTTCCATGTGCCTTAGCATAGTTTCCAGGAGGATCCGCTCCATGATCTTGCCGGGCACAGAGGTGGGACTGACTGGCCTGTAGTTCCCCAGGTCTTCCTTTTTTCCCTTTTTAAAAATGGGGGTTAATTTTCCCCTTTTCCAGTCAGTGGGAACTTCAGTGGACTGTCACGACTTCTCAGATATGATGGATAGTGGCTTAGCAACTTCATCTGCCAGTTCCCTCAGGATCCGTGGAGGCTTCTCATCAGGTCCCATGGACTTGTGCACCTTCATGTTCCTTAGATGGTCTCAAACCTGATCTTCCTCTACAGCGGGCAGTTCTTCGTTCTCCCAGTCCCTGCCTTTGCCTTCTGCGACTTGGGCAGTGTGGCTGGAGCACTTGCTGGTGAAAACTGAGGCAAGAAAGTCATTAAGTACGTCAGTCTTCTCCATGACCCGGGTAACCAGGTCTCCCATTTCCTTCTGGAGAGGGCCTACATTTTCCCTAGTCTTCCTTTTATCACCGATGTACCTATAGAAACTTTACTTATTGCCCTTGATGTCCCTGGCCAGACTTAATTCTATCAGGGCTTTGGCTTTCCTAACCTGATCCCTGGCTGCTTGGACAGTTTTTCTCTATTCCTCCCAGGCTACCTGCCCTTGCTTCCACCCTCTGTAGGCTTCCTTTTTGTGTTTGAGTTTGTCCAGGAGCTCCTCGTTCATCCATGCAGGCCTCCTGACATTTTTGCCTGACTTCCTCTTTGTCAGGTTGTGGTGCTTCACTCCTGAGCTTGGAGGAGGTGATCCTTGAATATCAACCAGCTTTCTGGGGCTCCTCTTCCCTCCAGAGCTGTATCGCATGGTACTCTACCCAGCAGATCCCTGAAGAGGCCAAAGTCTGCTCTTGCTGTGCACCCTCCTTGCTGTGCACCCTCCTTGCTGCCCTAAGGATCTTGAACTCCGCCGTTTCATGGTCACTGCAGCCAAGGCTGCCCTTGAGCTTCACATTCCCTGCCAGCCCCTCCTTGTTGGTGAGAAGAGGGTCCAGCATAGCACCTCTCCTCATTGGCTCCTCCATCGCTTGGAGGAGGAAGTTATCATCAGTGTATTCCAGGAACCTCCTGGATTGCTTATGCCCCGCTGTGTTGTCCCTCCAACAGATATCGGGGTGGCTCAAGTCCCCCATGAGGACCAGGGCTTGCGAAGGTGAGGCTGCTCCTCTCTGTCTATACAGGGCCTCATCCGCTCGGTCTTCCTGGTCGGGTGGCCAGTAGCAGACCCCCACTGTAATGTCACCTGTCCCTGCCCTCCCTTTCATCCTGACCCATAAGCTTCTCTGTCAGCTCCTCATCCATCCCCACGCGGAGCTCTGTGCACTCCAGCTGGTCATCGACATCGAGGGTGACACCCCTCCTCGTGTCCCCTGCCTCTCCTTCCTAAAGAGATGGTGTCCTTCCATTCCAACACTTTGTCCGTGTAATTTTTCTTACACACTATCCAGATAACCTGACTGCAGAAGAGCTGATTGTGTAACCGCAGAAAGTCCAAAGGTTTAATTTTTTCCCCCTTTCCGCTCAGTTTCCCCGCCCCCCCCCCCCAAAAAATCACCAAAAAAACAAACCCGAGGTGGAATTTCCCCACTTTCCAGCTCAGACCGAAAAGATGACTGCTTTGCAAGACAGGCGAGTGTTTTGGCAGAACCGTGCCGTGCCTTCCCACCTTGCACAGCCGTGGCCCCCCCGGCAGTGGCCGGGATTTCTCGCCAGTGCATATTTTTGTAACCCCCTTTTCCCTGGAAAACAAAAACTGTGGCTTTGCTCGCTTGAGGCAGCCACTGCGTGATGGGGAAAAAATGCAAGCTGGAGAAGGAAGAACACCCTGGGAGAAACATTCCTGATGGGAGAAACATTCCTGATGGCTCCTATCAGATTTGGGAGCTTCGAAACCCATTTTGGCACGGGAAAAGAAAAGAAGAAAAAGAAAGGAAAAAAAAAGGGAAAATAAGAGGCGCTAAAAAAAATAAAAAGTGCCGTGAAAGGCGAGTTCGGCAGTCGTTACCAAAACCCACACTGAAACCCTGGGGCGGTTTCTCGGCGGTGGCAGGAGCACGAGGAGGTTTGGCCGAAAAAACCCGCCCTGAGCCAGCCCTCCTCCACTTTCTCCTCCTCCTCTTCCTCCTCCGCCCCCCGGAGGCGGCTATATAAGCCCCTTTGGCGGCGCCTCGTCTCACATTGTGCCATTCACTGCGCCGGGAGCCCTTCGTCCCGTCTCAGCAGAACCGTGGCCGGGCCTATAACCGACCCGTTCCCGTCGCCGTCGCCGTCGCGGAGCCTTGCCCGGTGCGGCGGGTCGCAGCGCTCCGCTCCGCTCCGCTCCCGCGCAAGATGCGCTCGGCGCTGCGCGCTGCGCCCCGAAGGCGCTGCCTCCCGCTGCTTCTGCTCCTGTTCGCGGTGCGTGGGGACCGCTTACCGGTGGTGGGGACTCGGGGGGACGGGGACGGGACACGAACGGACACCCGGGGACCCCCTTTCGGTGTTGCGGCGGCATGCCCGGGCTTGCCGCGCCGTCGAGGGGCATGGTCCGCCGGGTTGGGAAAGGG